GTTAAACAGTTTTTTGTGAAAATTTAATTTTTCACATATTGGCATTTTCAAGGTGTGACTTTAAAGTTCCATGATCTTGAAGACTTTTGCTTGTCACATTTTCTGAATGTCCATGTTACTAATATTTTATTAATAACATTTGATTGTCATTATGCTGTTAAACATTATGTAATGTTGCATCAAAATTTGAAGAAACCCCTATTTTGGGCACTGCTCCTATGATGACCATTTAAGGGAAATCATGTCACTTACTGTTCTCAAACTTACAGGAAAGAAACATGGGTCTAACATACAGCTTCAATAGGCAACGCAGTCTGTTTGGTAAATTTTTTTGGCAATTTAACAGTTTTTTGTGAAAATTTAATTTTTCACTTATTTGCATCTTTATTTTCTGTTCTTTGTCTGTACATTTGACAGCTTTGCTGCCTTGTTATTATTTCAGCTTCTTGGTATGAAGACACATTTAGATGAACAGATATTTAATTATGGAAGATTAGTACTGGTAGATTTGGTAAGTGGTCCTCAATCAGGACATATAACTGATCTCAGGAATTTGAATTTTTCTCTTTTTGGAGTAAATGCTTACTAACTTTTAAATTAATAAACACTTTAAGTATTTAATTTTTTTATTTTGAAACAAGGCAAAAGATGTAGCTCAGGCTAAGTCAAGACCTATAGGTTCAAATTTCAAAACCTGTATTATAGTTACTGTAGTTTTTTTTTATTTCTCCTTATAATTTGTATCTTGGTTCTATTCTTATTATAATATTGCTATCATGTTAACTTTATGTGTTTCAGATTGATCAGAAGGGGAAAGAGTTAACATTGGGAACTGCCTTGGCAGATAATGTTAGAAATGTTCACAATGACAATATCAGGTAGTTAAATTGCTTTAAAAAATTTTTAAAGTATACTGAATAGTGATAAAAATAGTAAAACAATAAGGCAAGAATATAAGTGGGATTATATTGATAAACTGTGAGTCTAATGACTGTTTAGCTTTAGTTGTAAGTGTTCAGTTAACACATGGAAGAATCATGTTATTGTAGACCTTTATTAATGTTTTGTTGTTTTTGTTTCTGTGTAATAAAAACAAAATTGAAGACTTTTTAAAAATATTGTGCAACTTATGAAAATACAGGCTGCAATGTGTTGTCAATAACTCTGTGATAGCCATTTTTTTGTAACATTGTACTTTTACTTTCAACCACAGTATCGACGTTACAACTCCCATCTATATATAGACCCATTTATGAGATGGATTTTAATTTTTGTAAAAAGAAATTGTGCCATGTACAGTTGATTATGTTTTATATTTTTTCTTCCATATTTAAGGTTAGAATCATTTGATTTCCACAAAGAATGCAGTAAGATGAGATGGGAAAGACTGAACATACTCATGGACAGGATAGAAGCAGACAGGAAAGAAATGGGGTAAGTACACAGGATAGGCAGACAGTAAACATAGTGGGCAATGCCACAATGTAGGCAAACAGGGATTGCATTAATTATAAGATTGAAAAATGAATTGTGACTTTGGATATTGCATAATATTTTAAGTGTTTCGTAAGGCAATTGTTCAAGCCTGCAATATGTATATCATAGTCTTATGTTTCTGTGTAAAAATCCATTGGATTGTTGAAGTAGAATTATAGAGGTATCATAGTGTTTTATGGTCTATTGAACCTACTATTACCTCATTTTAAGAAATTTTATCAAAATATATTGATATTGTAATCACATTTTAATGACAATCACAGTAACAATATAAATCTAAATAATTGTGATTTTTTTTGGTAACAAATTTAAGTCCTCAATTTGACTAAGTTTTACTGATTGATTCGATCTTGCACCTGCAGCTATTTCATGTCTCTGCGGGAGGGCACCATGCTGAGTCAGCAGATGGGCGTGTTTCGAACAAACTGCATAGACTGTCTGGACAGGACCAATGTGGTACAGAGTCTTATAGCAAGGAGGACGCTGCAAGACCAGCTGATTGTAAGACATTGAATAGTTTCTAAAATGTATCTGATCCTCTTTATTTTCTTGTCCCTAGTCTGCCAGAATTTTATATTAAATAGCTGATTATTTTTTACTTGTAAATTTCTCTTGTTGTTTTACTTTTCTAACAGTGTTCTGTTTCATTAAACAATGCAGCTCTCTTTTAATTGCAAGGAATGTATTATTATTATTATGATTATTATTATTGAATTAATTAGTTAATCAGCCAGCTGATCAATCAGTCAGTCAGTCTATTTCTTTATTTATTTGAATAAAAGAATCTGCTGTAAAAATAATTAAATGAAATAAAAGTAAGATGTAGTGCATTGAAAAACAACTCAAATTCATGTTTTCCACCTGTTTTCCAGAGGTTAAATATTTTACAAGAGGGAGAAAAAGTGGAAGATCAGCTCTCATTTGAGAAGATGTACAAAAATGGTAGGTCGCAGGTTAACACCATTTTTATTTTTATTTGAAACACAGAAGACTCTGCATATCTCAAACTCTTTGAGATTGGAAAGTTTGTTCTGGTTATGTAGAGATTTGTGTTTGGCTATGTTCATAAGTTTCAGGTGATACCAAAGAGAAAAAATCTGTTCCTGGCTACAGGATGAATTAGTTTTAAATGATAATTGGAGTCATAAGGTGACAAGTTATGCAGTCTGGTGTACTTTTCATATAAGGCAGAAAACAAACTTATGGTGTACAGTGAAATAGCCTCCTGCAGTTGAATGCAGAAAAACTAGTGATTATATTGTAAACAAGATGGACCTCTTAATCTGTTAAACTGATCGCATTCATCAAGAGTCCCTGCAGAGTTGGATCAATCTATGTAGACCAGTAGCTTCAGTGGGAATGAGCCTATACATATATCTACAGTATGAAAGAATAAAAATGTTGAGGTAGATATTTGTGATGATAATGCAAATTTATGAGCCATACAGTATATATGGACATTTTGATTCAATTATATTGTAATCATATCCTATTATTTTACACCAGTTTGGGCTGACAATGCAGATTTATGTGCCAAGCAGTATGCAGGAACAGGTGCTTTGAAGACGGACTTCACCAGGTAAGCTTGCGAGGACAGTAGATAGACAGATATCCAGATTTAGTCGGCCTGAGCCTTAAATTCTAAAATTGATAGGCATTTTGTGAATCTGAACCAAGGCATCATATTAAGTAGGTTGTATACCAGTGAATGCTTCATGAATTATTCTGTGCAAAGGGAGTTTATTATTATGTTACATTTACAGGACTGGTAAGAGATCATTTTTAGGTCTGTTGAAAGATGGCTACAACTCAACAATCCGATACTTCAAGAACAACTTCAGTGATGGCTTTAGACAGGTGGGTAGTGACTTGGGTAGAGCTGGCATATCAAATAATGGTAAAATTGCTTGTTTTTAATTTGTTTCATATACTATATGTACTCTCTTTTTTGGGGGAGGAGGGGGGAGAGGGAAAGTTTATTGTAACAAATACACCACTGCCACAGTGACATACATGCATAATGCTAAATAAATAATGGCACACACTCTAATGGCAAAGTTTCTATGACCAGGGTAATTATTCATTGGCAAAACGAACATTCAAAAGTAAATTCATAAAATGTGTGCATTTTGATGTGCTTGTCTTTTTGTTTCAAATAAATGAATAAATTTTTTTAAATTTTTATCCCAGGATGCCATGGACTTGTTTCTTGGCAACTACATTGTAGAGGAGGATGAAGGGGTGGCTAAGCTGTGCCCGCTCAGACAGGAGAGAGACTGGAAATATTTAGCTGTAGGTTTTCCATTTATTTATTTGGGGCCAGTTCACAGAAAAAAAAACAAAAAATTTTAGATCAACTTTAGTTGTTCCTTAATTTTGAACCAGAATGTTATCTTTGTGTGACCCGAGGCAAAGCAGATAGCCCACTTTAAAATAAGTGAAATATTGAGCTTTTTTGGTAACAAAAAAGCATGACTAATTATTCAAACCAGTATATATTTTATTTTGTAGACTAAGTACAAATTTATCCTGAATTGAGGAAGACCAGCTAAATATTGTACTAAAAGATATGACTGACTTTTAGTCTTTTAAGACTAATTACTCATTACTAATTAAAATTACTCTCTTTTGTGAAAACAGCCCCAGAGATCATGTTACTTCATTCTGTATACTTTAACATGTTTCTTAACATTAGAGATGAAAATATTCCAGATTCATCAGGAAATCGGGATATTTGGGTTCTGCATTTATGCCCCCAGAGCCTTTATGCCTTTGGCTCTTGTATTTTGAGGATGTTTTTTTAACAAAAGTCTAGTTTTTTCTTTGAAACATTAATGGTTGATGCTTAGTGTCTGTCCATGACATCTTTGCAAGATGAAGCTACTCATTCTAGACATTGCTTCACTCATTTGTCACTTGACTGTGTAAAAAGTTCATATCTGATATTTATAAAAAAGACATCGTGTTTTTTCTCACTTTTGTTAGCCTTTAGCACATGTGACAGCTACATCAAGTCCATTGTACAATTTAAATTGATAGTTTGTCTTCACGTCCTAATTTACTTCTCGCAATTAAACCCAAAAATATATTTTTATTTAATTTTTTCTGTCCTTAATCTAATAAATAAGATCCAAATTTTATCCCAACTCTGATTTAACTTTCTGTGTCAACAATAGTTAACTTAAAATTGGTGTGTCAACACATTCAAATGGACTTATTATTAGAAGATAGCTTAGGATAGTGTTAAGTAATTTATATAACACAGCCAGCTTTATGAATTCAGATGAATCTATGAAGCTTTGAATAACTAGTGAAAATACTGTGAATTTTGTTTTTACTAAAGATCTATAATAATAATAATGAAAAGGATAATGGTAACGATGATGACGATGAAAATTGGCTCTGTCTAGACTGGCAAATGGGCATTTATTTATGTTTTTAAAACAATAGCATTGACCCAGTTACACCTGTTTTCCAGCTTCCAGCCATTTTTATGGTTGCATTCTCCATGTGCGTGATAAGTGTTCTGATACCAGATGGTGAGTAATAATTGATGAATAGGAACAACATTAAAAAGTAAACTGAAAACCCTTATGTATATGTTTCTATAATCCACCACTAGTGGGCTTGATTTGGTCTTAAAGTGCAATTTAAGTTCACAAATAGTCTTAGACCCCATTCCCAGAGATTAGATCGATCCAACTAGATCGACCTAACTCCCTGGGGGTTCACGCTAAATAAATAGCTGTCAGCCGAGCGAGCACGAAAGTTAATTACCCCCTTACAGCTTGTAGTAGGCGTGACGGACATTTAAGCCGGATTATCTGACAGTAATCTAGTGAGATTCCCCACGAAGGTAGATCGATCTAAAATCTATGGGAATGCACCCTAACATGATCTTAAACCATGAGTAAGACCATTTCTGGTCTGACAGCCAATTAAGTTGTCTCTCCTTACACATTCTCCTATTGTGAGCAGAGGTGCCCTCTATTGTGAGGGGAGGCATCCCCCATTGTGAGGGGAGGAAACTGCTTGACCACTTAAGTAGATGTTAGATCATTTTTGACCTTAATACCCCGTTCACACTACGCTCAGTTATCCGGATAAATTGCGGATTAGGTCACAATTCGAATAAATGCAGTAGTGTGAACGCAAGAGGATTTTTGTAATGCGCATTTTCAAAATCCTGCAAGTGAGGTGGATTTCTAAGCGCGATCAGGATAACTTACCGGAATCGACACCTGTACAGATCTAACTGCGCATGTGTGCAGATAAGTGCGGGTATCTATGAACGCTTGTTTATTACTTTAGCGATTGCACCAAACGTATTTGGAGGTCACCACTCACTACAACATGAGGAAACAAATTTATTTTGCCATCTTATACTTCTCAAGAATGCTGGAATGTCTTTAGAGTTGCATTTGTCGTCACAAATTTTTGTTGGTATTTTAAGATTTCCTGTGCGGCGCATGCGCGAGTGTTCAAAACAGGAAGTTAAACCTGAAATTTTCAACGTGTAATTCGGTTTTGCTTAGCGTGTGTGAACGCAATACCGAATCGAATTCCTTACGAAAAATTCGGATTATAGAAATGCGCATTTTTGTAACTGTAGTGCGAATGGGGTATAAAAGCAGATTTGGTCCATTTTAAGACTACTGCTGTAATGATTAAGATTGTGTAAGAGCACTTGTGATCTTAAATTGCACTTTAAGACCAAATCCAGCCCACTAGTGCTCATACATGAAAACCCTGATAAAATTTCTATCAGTTTTTCAAAACATTTTGCTATTTAACTGATGCACATGTGAATGAATTTTTTTTATGTACAAAATAACATCCAATCCTTTATTTTAATACAGGGTACCCAAAACAGTGACACACACCAATATTGTATTTATCATTTCAGAGCATGCCACAGAAACTTTGATGTATATTGTGTTCTGGGGAGGGGCCAGTCTTGTCTCTCTTGGACTCATCTATTACTATGGGGATGAGTTTGTAGACCAACCTAAGCTGGCTCAGACAAAGACCAAAGTTGAATAAAGTGGGCAGGTGAGCAGAGATGGATAAAAGAGGGTTTGTGTGGGTGGGTGGGGGGTAGGGGGGTGGTTGAAGAGGCAGGGTTTGCTACCCCTCCTTGAAGTTTTGCTGGAAAGTATTATACATGTTGATGTGAAAAGGGAAGAATACTTAATTTTTTCTACCTCTGTGCTGTGCTTGTGTATGTGTGTGTGTGTGTGTGTGCATTTGTTTTTGTAAGCTGAAGAGTATTTCACTATAAATTTTGACAAGCAGTAATTGTACCACCAGCGTTAGCGCTGGCGGTACACATNAAAAATTTAATATTTTATGCCGATTTTCAGAAATTTTACAGATCTAACTTATAATATTATGGACAGGTGTTACCCTGAGGGTCTTCTTTCATCTTCGTGAGTTTGGGGTCAATTGGTGCATTTTCACGGGAGTAGCGGCCATTAGATGCCGACACTGAAAACTGTCTCCAATTCTGGAACTGTTAATGATAGAGACCTCTTGTTTTTTGCATTTTGTAGAGCTTGTCAAGCGCAACACTGGAGGTGGTGTCTGTGTTTTGTTTTCGATACAGCTTAGGCATTGCACTATATATAAAAGTTCAACATCCAATATTTAGTGGTGAAAATAAAATGTGAAATACTACAAATTTAGCAGAGATACGCCCATAGTTACTATTGAACTTGAATGGGAAGACATATACTTGTAATTTAACTGTGACCTTGAAATTGGCCTCTGACCTACTTTTCACCATGAACTAAAATTTCCAGCCCTTATATCTCTTAAACTGGCAAAGATAGTTACTATTGAACTTCAATAGGAAGTCATATACTGGCTATCTAACTGTGATCCTGAAATTGGCCTTTGACCTACTTTTTATGATGAACTGTACTTTGCATGTTTTCTGGCCTATATATCTCCAAACTTGGCAAAGAAATGCCCATAGTTACTTTTGAACTTGAATAGGCAGTCATAAACTGTGACCTTGAAATTGACCTTTGACCTACTGTTCACCATGAACTGAACTTTGAATATTTTCTTGCCCCTCATATCTTCAAAACTAGCAGAGATATACCCAGTGTTGCCCATAGGTTTCCTCTTTTGTCAGCATATATGCAACACTGATAACACATTTCAAGGAAAACCAATAGGCCTATTGTCTAGAAAATCACTACCCATCCGAATGCGCTTACTCCAGCTGGTGGTACAATATCCGGAGGCGGTATCGCCTCTCTGATCCTCTAGTTTTTCTTGAAATTATGCAGTTTTTATGTGCAATGTTCATTTTTCACATTTTGGTTTTTTTGACTATCTGACTGTAAAATTGCATTGGGTAAAAAAAGGTGGTGATTATGCTGTTGAACATTATGTAATATTGCATCAAATATAACAAATACTCTATTTTGTGCACTATAGGGATTATTTTGTGCTTTTTTTTAAATAACGTCTTTTAAATATTTTTTCAATTTTATATCTATATCTATATCTATCTATCTATCTATCTATCTATCTATATATCTATCTATCTATCTATCTATCTATCTATCTATCTATCTATATATATATATATATATATATATATATATATATATATTGGTATTTTTTGTAACTCTCCCAGATCTATGCTAGGTACTTTTTCTGAATGTTCCTGTTACCTGTAGTGTATAAATAAATTTTTGTGGTGATAATACTGTTAAGTTTTGTGTTTTTGCTTTAATATTGACAATATAACCCTTTTTATTTATCATTTCTTTCTGCTTTGTCTGCGTATTTAACAGTTTGCAGTCTTGTTAAGTATACCTGAAAAGGGTGATATAAATTTTCTCGAATTCCAACTGAGTTCATATCAGAATATATACTTTTGTTGGTAACTAAATTGATGATTTTCCAATAAGTGATATTTTATCATTGCACATAGTATTTTTTATTTCTTTCAGGTTTAGTCCAGATACTAAGAATTTATACTTTGATGAAGAAGAGTCTATATCATGTGCCTCTCCTGTGGTATATGCACATCAGGCTTTAATAAATAAATTGGATGATGATGTTTTTCCTCTGCTTGCCAACCATCGGCATTTTATGGTATATTAGTTACATACTAATTATTTATTTGGTTTCCAATCTACAAAAAAGTTTGTTAAGGATATTGTTACCCTGTATTATCGTCCAGACCCAAAATTAGTTTTTTCCTGCATCTAATTATTCAATAATGCATCTATCTTTGTGATGATTTAAAATGATGGAAAAATCCTCGAAAATATAAAAAAACTGGCATTTTTTTTTTTTTTTTTTGCAATGTATAAGCCTAGGGAACTCAAAGCTTTAATCATCAATTTAACACCTTTCTATTTTGAGGTGAGATGGCAATCCATTTGGGGGCATAACTTTATCCGTGAACAAGATTTTATCACGAAAATTGTCACGAAGAGTTGACAAGGAGTTTATAGGCTAGAATCCCGTGCCATCATTTTAGTTTGAATGTTTTTGTTATGAAATTATAAGCCCCTAATTACAGATTTTCATCAAAGAAAGGCATTTTGCTTCATAAATGATAAAATCTGAACTAAGAAATTTTAAGAAAAATGGCTGGCATGGTTTTGGAGTCCTAATGGTGTCATTAGATCAGGGTTGTAATGGTGATCATGAAAAGGAAATTTGAGAAACCAATTTTTCAGTTTTTAACCCCAAAGTCACAATTATGATGTCACCCGTAATATGACGGGTAAATGTTAATTAATTTAGTCACTAAACACTGAAGATTTATTTATTACCCAAAACAATGTATGTAACGCAGTAAATAAGAAGTTTTGGGTACAGGATGACAATATCCCTTAGTATTATGTTGGTATGCATAAAGATCATCATGGAGTAATTTCCATAGAAAATCTTTCATAGTGAAGAAGAAAAATTATTTCAGAAGCAATGTCACATGCACCTTGCTGATTTCAAGTATATCTAACTGATACCATAATGGATGTTGAAACCTAAGGATTTTAGTTCATGTGTGCATTCATGGATGGAATTATGGGAAAAATTTCTACAGACGGCTTTCCAAAAGTCATATGTGTAGATTTCAAATATGCCCTTGGATTTGACCTTTATTTCAAGGTCAAACGGGCCAAAATTTTCAAAAAAATTAATTTTTTTACGAAAAAAAAATTATTTGCCCTGTTATTCAGACACCACACAGACTTAACCAATAATATTATTGGAAGTTGTTACCCTTCAGGTCATCTTTCATCTCCGTGAATTTGGGGTCAATCGGTGCATTTTCACAGGAGTAGCGGCCATAAGATACCGAAACCTGTCTGTAATTTGGGAACCGTTAACACTAGAGACCCATTCTTTTTTGCATTTTGTAGAGCATGTAAAGCCCAACACTGGAGGTGGTCTCCGTTTTTTTGTATTCCATACGGTTTTCGAGTTACGCTGTATCAAAAAGTACATATTGGTGGT